TGGAGCTAGCACCACATTAATTTTGAGTGCTTCTTTATGGATACTTGGATCTGTGTGGATCATCAATAGAGACGGGACACTTAGATGACTTTACCGAAAAGGAATTTAAATTTGCGCTACAAGAGGTAATCCTTTAACTTATAGCTTATTATTCATGTGTGTATGGTTAGTAGATTTAACGACTTAATCTTAGGGCTTTAAATGAAAAAAAAATTCTTATTCTTTATCTCCATAGGATGCATGATCCCTCGAGAACTAACAATGAGAGAGGAAAACGAAATTATTAAATTGGCAAAGCACTTTTTTTAGGGGGAGAGAAGAGCGGTCGTGATCGTTAAAGAAGGCTAAGGAGGAAATTGCATCGCCTAGGGTGGTCAAATCGAATGCGGGCACTCGCCAACTATGAGAGGAGGAGAGGAAGAGATGGAAAGAGACAAAAGAAAAATAGGGAGGAAAAGAAGCTGCTATTTAGGGATTCAAATTTAGCAACGGATACAATCTCATTGCTAATCCCTTGCTATTTGGCAAAGGAAAAAAGTGTCAATTGCTAATTATTTAATAAAGTGGTCGTTTCATTTTCTATTGTTTTTAGGAAAAATGTGAAATTGTAAATTAGCAACGAGAAAACAAAATTCTATCACAATTCCGTGTCTCTTCGACGAAGAATTTTATTTTTCATCATTTTTTCTCTCATTTTATTTTTGTAATCTTTTCATAAATTGGTATGGGTACACATTAGTGACGAAAAGTAAATTCGGTCTCTAATCCTTCGGTAATTAGAGATAGAAAGAAAACTTTATGGCTAATTCTATCATGTTATTTTCTCGATAATTTTCAATTTAATTAAATTGTGTTTTAGCGACGAATTTAAATTCACTCGTTAATTTTCATTTCTAGACCATCACCATTCTATCGTTAATTTCTTATGTTTGCAAATTAAAGATCGAAATTAATCCGATGCTAAAATTCCGTTGTTATTTTGTCTCAAATATGTATCTAAATAATTTTGTCACTATTGCATCGCAAATTCATCACAAAGTAGGTATAGAATATGTTGAACTGTCTCTAATTTTCGTCACTAAATGACGGGTTTCTTGTAGTGTAGGTAGATTACAATTTTGGGAAAACCATTTCGGATTCTATTTATTTATTTTTACATGGCCATATCAAATATGCATTCCTACCACATATCAAATATGCAATCCGCATCCCTATTTCATCTCATATATATATTATTTCTCTTCTTAAATGATCCTTCAATAATATTATAGGCATTTTAACTACCGAAATATGAGAATTAACGACGATTTAGATCGTCGATAATTCTTACAAAACCATCGCTAAATAAAATTAGCGACGATTTTACAAAGGTTTTAAACTCGTTCGTAAAATGCTTATTCTTAATTTATTAGCGATGGTTTTTTCAATTCGTAACAAATTTAGTGATAAAAAAAAAAAACTATCACTAAAATTTTGACAAATTTATGATCATTTTGATAAAGAGTCGCTAAAATCATCGCGAAATTTTGTCAAATTTGTGACGGTTTTGCATAAAAGGTCACTAAAATTGTGATTTAGCAATGGTTAAAGCTGTCACAAAAAGTTTTTAATTTTTTTTTTAATATTTATCCAAATTTTAATTGTTTTAAATTAACTTCGCTTTAATTTTAAAGCTAAAAAAAAAAAAAAAACATATACATAAGATTTTTAAATCTAACAAAATTAATATAAAATATAAAATTAAATTTATATTACAATATTTAATTATGAAAAACTTTAAAAAAATTTAATATTACAAGCAAAAGAAAACATAAAAGTTGAGAGCGATTGTTAGGGTCGTTAGTTAGAGGTTGGGTGGAATCGTCAATCAAAGGCTCGATGGATGAACTGTTTCACTGCATATTCAACAACATCTGCTACATCCGTTGCATCATTGCATGTTGCTTCTAAGTGTACTCTTTCAATTCATTTGTAGTAGCTAAAAGCGTTATAACATAACCCTTTAGATGTTAGATATGTTCTGCTTGTTTAGAAGTACGATCCTCCAATTCCTTTTGCAAAAAATATAACAAACTTGTTTAACAACTAATTAATTAATATTTTAATCAAGTACATAATTAATTCTTCTAATTAAAATTTTAATATTTAATTTCCAAAACAATTAACTTAATTGACCTTTATAATTGAAATAACAAAAAATTAACCACTAACTTAATTTTCTTATTTAACTACCTAATTGATTCTTGTAAACACAAATTAAATAACTTAATTATAAAGTAATTGACTTAATTAAAAACTACAAAACTTAAATAACAAAAAAATTAATTAAATCAACACGTAAATATATATATATATATATATATATATGTTAAAAAAATATAATTGTAAACTAATTTAATTATTTAACGACATAATTAATTATTTTAAAAAATATATTTTTAAATTTTTATTACCAATTAATTATTTAAATTAATGTAACAAAAAAAATAATTACCATCTAAATATATAATTAAACTAACAAACAATTAATTTCATTAAACTATTAAATATTTTATTTTTCACAATTTTAAATAATGTCATTAACACTTAAATCACTTATTTAAAAATTAATTATTTTATTAATAAAAAAACACATCTTCATTTTTTTAAAAAAAAAATTAAATTATTTAAATACCAACCAATTTAACTTAATTTAACTAACAACTAAATGAAATTTATTTAATACATATTTTATTAAACTAACACTTAAGTAATTTTTTAAACACAAACTTAAATTAATTAACAAATATCAAAAAATTATAATAATAAAATAAATTAAACTAATTAAAAATTAATTAATAAATCAATTAATTATTTAACAACAATTAACAATTACATTTTTTAAATACCAACAAATAAACTTTATTTCATTAACAACTATATAAATAAAATTTATTTAACACATACTTAGTTATATTAACACATAAATAATTATTTTAACAAAAAAATAAATTAATTAACAAATAAAAAATACTTATAACAACAAAATTAAATAAACTAACCAACAAATTAAGTAATAAATAATTAACAACTAAATAAAATTTATTTAAAACATAATTTATTAAACTAACACTTAATCAATTAAGTAAACAAAAAATAAAATTAATTAACAATTAAAAACTATTTATAAGAAATAAATAATTTAAACTAAATAACATCAACCAACTAATCACTTATTTAACAATAATTAACAAATTAATTTTTTAAATGCCATAAAATCAACTTAATTTCATTAAAAACTTTAGTATTTAACAAATATTTTAACAACAATATACAAATCATAATTTATTAAAAAATATTTTATTAAACTAACACTTTACAAATAATTTAAACAATAAATTAAATTAATTAATAACTACAATAAAGAATTAAACTTACTAACAATTAACTAATAAATAATTAAAAACAACAAAAAAATTAACAAAAAATAAATTTATTACAAAAAAAAAAAAAGGAAAAATAAATTAATGCATGGGTTAACAAATTAAGAGGAGTTGTTGCCATATTGGAAGGAGGAGGGGTTCGTTGCCGTGTTTGGAGGAGCTCATGCTCGCCATAAAGGAGTCATTGCCATGAAGAAGAGGGTGAAGGAAGGAGGAAGAAAGGAGAGAAGAAGAAGAAGAAAAGGGACGAGGAGAGGGGAAAAGATGGAGGGGAAGAAGAAAAGAAGAGAAAGAAGGAGATTTAGAGAGTGTTTGAGCTGTCAGCTTGGGGGAGAAATTGGGGAGGGAGAAAGAATCGGACTCGATGGAGAAGAAGAGAAAGAAAAATGAAAGGAAAAAGGTGTAGTAGGCTATTTAGGGATTTAAGTTTTTCTCACATTTTGCGATAGTTTTTTTTTAAAAAAAAATCATCTCTAATCGTTTTTTGTTAAAAAAGTTTTCGAGTAATTTAGCGATGGTTCACCCAAACCGTCGCTAAAGTCCCTCAATAACAAGCAAATTTGTTGAAATTAGCAACGGTTTGCATAAACCGTTGCTAATTTCAAAACCACTCATAACTTTTGCGATGGTTCAACTAAACCGTCGCAAAATTCGATCTTCCTTAATCGATTGAGCGACGGTTTATTGAACCGTTGCTAAAATTCATTTTCAAGAATCGGTTTGGTATGGTTATTTGAAAACTATCGCAAAAAGTTCTTCTTCTTTTTTTTTTTTTTTTTTTTGTTTGCTATGTATAGTTTTTAGATCGTTGCAAATTTACTCCTACAAATTCATTTTTTTCCGATAGTGTTTGTACAATATTTAAGCTATTGAATAAAATAATATTCTCTCCTAAATCGTATATTTTACCCAAAATTAGAAACAGAGATCGATATATATTGAGGAAGGGAGAGGAATAAGGCCGATATAATGAGTCAGGATCATTAGCTTCCTATATATGAAAGAATTTTGCTATGAATTGTTGACATTTTTCTTGAGCTAGAATAAGTTTGCTATGAATTTCCTATACATGAAATAATGAGTCACACAAGATTCATTACCATCTCTCTGCAACAATAATTGATCGGAAACAAAACCTTTGTTTTTTGTCCTTTAGGGACACGTGCATACTGGAAATGATGCAAAAATGAACCACATATCGATGATGGACTTTAAAAAAAAGATGAGTAATTGACATGGTAAGCATTCCCATGACAGCTCCCACCTTCCAAGCTTGGGTATAAGGCCACCAAAAAAGAACTTTACCAAAAGGAGCAGATTAAAGAACGAGCTTCGGCTAGAGTTGATGAGACAAAAAATGAAGGGATAAAACCAACCTTATTTTAAGACTTTGAATGGTCACATGCTTTGTGAAAGAAGGTGAGATTTTCTAAAATATGAGTTTGTCCCATTTAAAAAATAAAGTTCCTTGGTTTTAAAATATTCTTTGACTGTAGGATTATAGTTTTTTTGTTGTTCAACTTTTGTTACGTGTTTTTATACTCTAACATTTTTCTGTCACGGACCCACTTATACTAGTCACTTGACCAATTCCGCGAGAATCTAGTCCTATTTACAGGGTACATGCATTCAGTTTTACATCACCTCACCTTGGCAAAATTATAGTTTTAAATCATAATGATTATTATTATTATTATTATCAGGCAGAGTTGTTTATCGCAAATCATATATATATATATATATATATATGAGATGGCCCTTCAAGCAATCTTTTGCATCTGGTCACCATTCGACAGTCAACTTATAAAAAATTACACTTGTCATCTAAATGCTGCAAACTCCTCCTCCCTCACCGTCCAATCCAAGTAGAAAGTTTTGGCTAGGTCCCGCCTGATTGCATCCCATGATTGGAGAGATTGGAATACCCCTAGTCTACTACTAATAATTAATTTTAATTAACTGACAAACTAATTAACTAAAAGCTATTCGTCGGTGTACAATACGCAATTTCACACGCGTTTTATCATTTGAATTTTACATATATATTTTTTTCAAAAAATTAAAATAACCTTGCGGTGTTACAACAGCATATTCTTTCCTACAATAGTGATGGTGATAATGTGGATCGTCATGAGGCTTTTTGTTATTATTTTTATGCTACGAGGTAAATTCAAACTTGAAATCTTTTGGAACATGAGGATATACGTGCCAACAGGCCTATATCTTATTGCCATTTTAATTCGTAGATATATAAACCTTGAACATCAACTTACGTACGATAGCTTTACTGGTGTTAACAAACGAGCTCCAATTTGATTCTATAAACTCATTTAGCAATGACCAAAAAATTACTGATTGGGCAACATGCCAACCTTGAATCATGCTTAACTTCATACTGTAAGCATTTACTCTTAAATTAATCAGATCCGTACGGTTGACACCAATTAATCTCTCAGTTTCTCACGGAAAGCTATCATTGAATTATTAAGTTACTAAACGTGAGCCAGACCTACTGAAAGAATGTTTCTGCACCAGGTCGAACCTTTTCTTTGTCATTTTGTGAGTCACCATGTCCTTTTGTTTGAGACTTTAGACCAAAAGTTACGCAGGATAGGAAAAACGATTAGACAATTGAAGTTACTTTTCAACTCCGCTGGAAGTGGATCGTGAGCACTTGAAAAAATTTGATCTTTATTTCTAATTGAAGGTTTGGGTACTCAGTTCGCAAATCAAGCCATGCACATTACACAGTTGTATGACGTTTTGAACAAATAAAAGTGATTGCATTTGGATTCTGCATCTATCACACGTTTATCTATGTAAGTGTGGAATTTTATTACTTACTCATAAACTCAATCGATATGAATCATAATAGTTTGTTTAATGGTTATTTTTGTTTTTAGTTTAATGGCAAAAATTTAGTTTTTAATATCAAATTATATAATGTAAATCTTAAAATATCGGTTTTTAGACAAATTTGATCCAAAACTTCTAATTCCGTTATTTGTAATCATATTTGTAACCATTAATTGGATTAATTGTCTAGATAAAAGCCAAAAGAAACTATTTTGTGCATTCAACTATTAATTTTTAAATTTTTTTTAAAGTTCAGAATTAAGAGGTTAAAAATAAAAATAAAAGTTTTTTTAAAAAAAATCAGACTTTTTTTAATCTTTTATTTGTATTTTTAAACAGTTTAAAATTTTATTTTTATTTTAACCTTCATAATTCTGAACTTTAAAAAAAAAAAAAATTAACAGCGGAATGCCTCAAACTTATCCTCCTAATTTAAACCCTTTAATTCTGAATTTTTATTTTTAAATTTTTTTAAATAAAAATAAAAATATAACAACTCGAATATATAAAACGACGTCGTTTTGACATTGTTTTTAACAATCAACTGAGATAATGAAAATTAGAAGATTTAGATCAAATTTATCCAAAATTGATATTTTGATATTCAAATTACTCAATTTGATACTAAAAATTTAAAATTATCAAATTATAATAGAATGAAGATAAGTTTTATCATTAAATCGTTTGTTTTTCATATTATAATATTAAATTTAAATTAAAAGAAATTAATTTGTGAATATATTAATTTTTATGAAGTCAATAATTGCCCGTCAAGATCCAATTCCAATTTTTTTTTCAAAAAAATAAAAAATCTAGTTTTAATATATAAAAAATTTATAATACTTTATATCTTAAAATAATAGTTTTTTTAGTTCCATGTATTGTAATTGAGTATTATAATGAGTCAATAAATTCAAACAATGGGATTGATTTCATTATTAAAATAAACTGATTGATTTAATGAATCTAGATTAGATCATATACACAAGACTTTATGGATTCACGATAAACATAAATGCCACATGCACGTTTGATGTCAAAATGCAGATGCATCCCGTTGAAACCTTTATTCTAAGAAGAGCTGCCCCAAGTTGATCGGGACATAACTTTTAACGCGTAAACAAATTGACTTTCTTTTCTATATTACTTTTTTCTTTTCTTATCTTATCCATTATTGGTCCGAGGGTTTTATTTTACGGCCAAACTTATTTAGGATAACAAAAAAATTGATGACTAACTATATGACTTTTCTATTTGTGGTTTGTTTTTCCAATTAGTTGGCTGATGATATTATTATTTTCTACCACAAAGTAAGATAAGAAAATTTTGAATTATTTTTCAACTTTGTTTGGATATTAATAGATTCGTAATTCATGTAAGAAAATTTCCTTATCAAAGATGTGTCAGACGATCATAAACTGGATAAGTACTTGCCATGTTTATATAGCAAATGATCATAAATTTATACAAACTCATTTGTCAATGCCATCAAATTTTCAATTTTTTAAACTAACGAACATCTTATCTCCTCCTATACTAATTAGTTCTTTGTATCTCCATATTAGTTTCGTACGTGTTTATTCACAAGTAGCTGACATTATGCTTCATTATATTCATATTTCCTTTTATTTTTTTTATTTATATTGTTTATGACAAGCCGCTACAGCTGCTATAACAATATTATTTCGATCCATGACGATGGATATTGACTTTGTTTCCATTGACAAAATGTTCTCTTTTTCCGCCATAGATAATTTGATTTTATTAATGAAAACCAAATTGGTGGACATAATTTCTTACATTGTGCATTGTTAAAATTTTCCAATATTACAAAATTTTGTGTAAAATACAATTAATAGATGGGTTTTGATCGTACAATATGGAGAGTCCAAAGATACATCCGATTAATTAACAATAAAGTAAATTACAAAAATTTATGCAGTATATGAACTGAATTGTATTAATCTTAAATCAAAGCAAGTGCAGAACGAAATTCTTCTTGTCTAGATTATACATAGATGCATAATTTAGCATATATAGAAGTTGATATGTAACCATTAAGCTGTTTCAAAATAACAAAAGGTCTCTTGACGTACCAACATTTCCATATAATTGTAGTACATGTTTAGGACACGCATCTAAACATTATAGTGATTTATGGCAATGGATATTATTATTTTGAGAAAGGCGAAGAATATCCACTTTGTTTCTATTTTTTTTTCTTTTTTTGGCTTTCTTTCACTTGATAATTTTCTAACATGCCAGAATATGAAAAAAAAATGCTCTCTTCTACTACGACCATATATATTTCTGTTATCCCACAAAAAAAAAAAAAAAGGAAATATATATATATATATATATATACAATAATGGACTTTTTCGGCCACAAATGAAGGATTTTCCGTAACAGAATTAAATTTATGATGAATTTGTAATGTTTTTTTCTTTTCCTGATATAAATATTTTGGTCACAAAAAATATTTGTGACCAAAATATCCATTACAATGTAAAATATTCATCATCAATCCATCACAAATTAATAAAATAAAAAATAAAAAAAATTCGCTGCAATCCATCTCAAAGTTATTAGTAATTAAAAATATAAACAAATGATAAATTAATAAAAAATAAAATTAAATGAATATTTTTGTTGCAATCCATCTCAAAATTATTAGTAATTAAAAATATAAATTAATGATAGATAAATTGATTGATGATCTGTCACTCATTTATGATAGATAAACTTTCATCACAAATTTGTACGTTTTCTAATAGGGATGATAAATACATGTAATCATAGGTTAAATGAGTCAAACCTCTCATGAATTTTAACATATATGAATTTTAACATATTTGAAATTGAGTTTTTAAACTTCAAATTTGATTTTTAAAATTTTTAAACTTTTAATTTTTTAATTTTTTTTTTTTGAGATTTAGCACATTCAATGATTTTTAGCTATTCATCCTCATTAAAAAAAAATTCAATTCTAAATATTTTAAATTGAAGTTTTGCACACACGTTCAAAAAAATCCAATTCATTTTCCAAAAAAATCCCATAACTTTTTCAAAATAAAAAAATATTTTTTTATTTTTAAACATTACAAATAAAAAAATAAAAAATAAACTGGAATGATCCTAAATCTTTTGAAGAATCCTGTATAAATCTCATTGAATGATTCCATCACGGAGATATTTACATGATTGTTTTTTTATAGATTAAATTAAAAAAAATTGAAAGATGAACTAAATCTAAAAAATTAAAAATTTAACAATCTCAAAAACTAAATTTAAAGATTTAATTTTAAATGAGTTAAAATTTTAAAAAGATTGGATACATTTAACCATACATGTATGCTCCAAGAATTCAATATCGGATAAAGACTTGTGATTAAGAAATTATATAGGCAAACTCAATTTATGAGAGCGTCTTTGTCATATATACCAGCTTATCATTGAATGATTGTCATGCCACAAGTTTCTTAAATATGGTTTTCAGAAAGTCAATGCATGAACAATCTTTGTGGATCCAATCAGTGTATTGTATTTGGGTGGAATATTCATATAGATTAATTTAGTTTTTTTGTCCCCGTCACCCATTTGTCTTTTTTTTTTCCTTGTTAAATAAAAAAATGATCACTTCATAACCAAAAAAGGTCAATCGAATTTGTTTATTAAAGTTAATTAAAAACTACTAATTCTAAAAAAAAATTAAAAATTACTAATTAAACTCATCAGCAGAATGTCATTTTATTAAAGTTCGTTTCACAATATTATGAATCATGAAGAATAAGAAATTGAAAAAAAAAGGTTAGAACATTCACCAACATTAAGGAATCAATGAGGTTGGTAACACCCTACACCGCCAATTAAACAAAAATAATTGCGCTTACCACCATTTAATAAATACGACAACCATCAATTATTAGTTTATCAAATTAACTTGTAATATGGTAGTAAGTTTTGGGGTCTTAAGTTAACACATAACAGTATTGAGTTTAATTCCATCTCAGATCAAGTCTTTAAATCATTTGCACTCAAACTAATGTATTCATAAAACATTATTTTTTCTCACACTCAAACTGTTGTATTCATAAAACTTTTTTTTATGACCACGTCTCAAATTTGATCCTAGATGATAAACATAAGAATCAAAATTGACTTACCAATCAGATTAAATTTCTAAGAGTCTTGCTTTCTAAAAATGAATCTCACATATGTTTTTTTTAAGGAAAATAGACTATATATATATATATGACTACATCATATAAAATAAGTAGAAATAATATAGAAGATAACATTTTTTAGTATTAGTTTTTTCCAAAATAATAGTTTTAAAATAATCCTAACACATGTTCTAGTGTTTTTTTTTTTTTGGTCAAAACCGATAAGAGTGCTTTTTTGATAAAGAGATAACAGTCAATCATTACTTGATTATATGTGATATGTTGTGAGCCGAATAGAACATATAAAATTATTTGAAAAAATAATTTTAATTTGATAAGTTGTACTATAATATTGTTCTCCTAACATATATTAAATTAAAAATAAAAAAAAATAATCTAATTTTATAATTTATTCTTTCTTATATATATATATATAGTTAAAAAACATGGTTTGTTATTTTTTATGTATTGATTTTTAAATAAGAATTTGCAATAATCTAAATAGAACATTTAATTCAAAATTTTAAAAATACCTCAATATTTTTTTTATAAAATTGCATAAAAAAAGCACCAATTAATATAAAAACTTGTATAAAAATTAACAAATGAATATTTTCATCATTATTAGTTAATTTTGATGAGAAGATTATTTTTTTAAAAACATGTACATTTGGTTTATATATATATATATATATTCACAAAATAATCAATAATATTAGTATAAAAAGTTGTATTTGAATCATTAGATGGTTCTCCTAAAATATTATTTCAATAATTTTATTTAAAAGCAATTTATTTTAGAATGTTAAAAAATAATAATAATAATAACAAATGATTGATGTTATGTGTGTAGTTGTATAGTTAATTTCTAATAAAATCAATTATCTCAGTTTTTTTTTAATATTCATCATCGAATCTACTCATAGGGTTTAGAGTGTCCATAATAAATAAATAAAAACATATTTAGAAAACAAATAAATTACAAGGAATATATTAAAATTAATATACGAAAATAATAAAAACTGCAAAATTAATTTTGATAAATTTTAATTATATAAAGAAGAAACAAATAAAATACGTGAATTCAATTTTTTTAATTGATTTTTTTAGAAGATTTGAGACAAATTATCTTAAATATACTTTTAGCTTTTTAACACTCTCATTTAAAAACCATAAGAATCTATCATATGAATTAAACCAATATATATATATAAAAGATTAACTAATGATATTCTAAAATTTATTCAAAAATCCATACATGGAGAAAAATAAATCATATTTGTTAACAAATAAAATTATATAAAAAGTATAAATTAATTTCACGATAATTTCTATAAGAAATGACAAATCAAAAATATTAATTTTAAACAACGAAAGAATATAATTCGATATATATGTTCATTTAAAAAAAGATAAAATAATTATATTCTAAACTTTTATTCAAAAATCCATACATACGGAAAAATAAATCATATTTATTAAAAAATAAAAATTAATTTTATGAGAATTTCCATGAGAAATGAAAAATTTTATACGTGTGTGTGTGTTCTAAATTCTAAAAGCATATCATATATATTTCACCGAGTCAACCTATGTGAAAAATCAAAAAAATAATAATTGATTTTTTGATAATTTTTGCATCCAATTCAATTTTAAAAAGGAAAAAAATAAAAAAAATAAAAAGCATTTTAATGCATGTGCGAGTACACACCCACACCCACACACATACAAATATATATCAAATAAAAAAAATTAATTTTTTTTAGGTTTTGATCCATCTCTTTCAATTATTTTATGGCTTAAACCATCATGAACATACTCCTCATTAAAATAAACAATATGAATGCAAGATCAACTACGAATAAGGTTGAAGTTAGAGCCGATCATGGCTTTCTCTCTCCTTTCTTGTATTTAGGGATCAAATTACGATATAAATAAACTTAAAAATAAAAATAAATTTTTAAAAAACATAAGGAACTAAAATATAGTATCCGATAAAACCTAGATATAAGTGCCTCAATACAACCTTAAAATCATGAAAACACCATTGCATAGTGCACATGAATCTAAGTAAATAGTAAATGAATAATATTTTATGAGTTTATGAATAGTGTAATGAATAATAAATACTTTAAATCTTTTAATATTTTTTTTTAATTATAATGAATACATAAAAAATATAACAAATTGCTAAATAAATAGCTTATAGATGAGGAGGATCATAATAAAAAACAATAGAACAATGATATATTCAAATAAAAAATTTACGTGATTGTAACTTGTGGTGACTTCACTTAATAAAAATGGCATAATAAAGAGGAAGTTATATCACACCAAAATACTTGTAATTACCACCTTGCGAGATAACTACCATAGCTATACATCCATCAATTTTACTTTTTATTTTTTAAAAAACCACTCTAGTAATTGCTTGCTTGATGCTTTCTCCGAGAGAAAAATATTATGTCACCTTCTTTTGAATCATTACTAAAGTTGAAGGATATTAATGTGAATTTTATACCATTGTCCCAAGGCAACGTCGAGGCGAGGGCGATGTTTTTAGGAAAAAATAAATAGAGTCGCCACCTAGTATTATGGTCACTAGGAAACCTTATGACTCGGTATGTTCGAGTTCTAGATAAGAGGTTTATTGCGTGTAGAAAATATTAAAAATCATTATATTCCGTCATGCCTAAGGCAAGCTTCATTACATACAAAACTAACTTGATTTTTGATTTTTTATGATGAAATAATATACCTATTTTTCAAATATTTGTCCACCAATTGAGTGATTTGATACTTGATCAATTAGAGACCTTGTCCTCACTCTATAACGAATAGCTAAAAAATAAAAGGCATGTTGAATGCAAAGATATGTGGCTAATGCGACTTAAATGGCATGAATAAAAACAGAATTTAAACATAAGTAAGTAGACAAATTAGGTAAATTAGTAAAATAGGCAAACGGACAGAAATAGACAAATAACGACAAAATTAGCAAATTGGCAAAATCGAAAAAATTAGCAAATAGGGAAAAAAGCAAGTAAGCAATTAAGTAAAATAGGCAAAATCGATAAACAAGCAAATAGACAATTAGGCAAAATCGATAAATTGGTAAAATCGACAAACGAGTAAATAAGTAATTAGAAAAAATTGACAAATTGGCAAAATCGAAAAAAAAATCGATAATGAGCCAAAATCAACAAATAGGTAGAATCCACAAATAGGCAAATAGGCAAAATAGGTAAAATCAACAATTTGAAAAATAGGCAATTAAGCAAAAATTGACAAATAGACAAAATTTGTAAAATTGACAAAATAGGCAAATTGGCATTTAGGTAAAATTGATAGAATTGGCAAAGACTATAAAAAAATAGTAAAATTGAAAAATTTTGCAAAAATCATTAAAGTTGACGAAAATGATCCAAAAACAAAGTGAAGACCAACATAACTTAGAAAATTGTGATTTTCGGGAAAAATCGACGAGAATCGTTGAAATTGACAAAAAACGAACTAAAAACTAGATTTAAATAGACACGACTCAAGCATTACCTTTTTGGAATGAAATTGGCTCGATATTAAATTGATCATCACAAATTACAACAATGGTCCAAGAATCATTTTTTTAGGCAAAAATCGACACAATATTAATTAATCATTGTGATGGGCAAAAACGAGTCCAAAACGTGATTCAAACTAACGGGGTTCGAAGTCACATTTTTAGGAAAATTGATAACGGTGTTGAAATTAATCATTATTTAACAAAAATGACCTAAATAATGAGGTTTGAATTGATGTGATCCGAAATGATATTTTTTAGATAAAAGTAGCACGTGAGCAATTTAACATTATTGACATCAATAATAGACCATTTAAACACATCAACAACCATGAATATAAGTCAAACCAATACTATATGTACAACAATGACTTAATCAAATCATATATAAGTAGCAATTTTAATTAATTTACATAACACAACACATCAATTAATTACAAACATGTCAACATAAATCAAATTTAATACACATTAAAATAAAATGAAATAAAGTGAAAGATAAAATAAATTACTATAAACGGGAGAACGAATTTGTCTAGCAAATTTGGTGGCGATTTCGACTTTTTCAACTCCAATGGAGATTAATATCTAGTTAATCGAGGAGGAAAGATGGTTGCTCCCGATCGGATCTAGTCGGACGAGTGCGATGAGGCAACTAATCGGTCCGAACCTAGCTATTGGATCGAATGGATCGAGCTAGAGGTCGCCGGTCGGATGGAAGCCGAGGCTAGAAGTATGGATCGGACCAAGCTAGACCGGGGGAAGGCTGAATAGGCATCGGGCTAGGGCTGGATCGACGTGGGAGAAGGCTGATCGGATCGGTGGAGGAGCGTGACTTGGGCTGGACCAGTCGGGAGAGGGCTGGATAGGCGTCGGAACAACTGGGCAATAGGCTGATTAGGTTTTTGGGTAGCTAACACGACATGAGGGTGATAAATTTGGATAGGCAACAAGATGGATTAGGGCTAAAGCCGATCAAGCGAGATAGTGGGACTGGATCGGTGGCCGACTTAAGGTGGAGGAGTTCGAGCGGTAGGTTTGGGTGAATGAAAATCGGTTTAGACAGTTTGGTTTAGGTGGAGATAAGCGTTGTTGACCGAAACAATGAATAACGCTACTTTGGGCGGCTAGAACGATGATGGGAGAAGTTGGATCAGCCTTTGGCAATGGCATAATCGGTTGCGTGAGGAGTGGATGAGAGCTAAAATGGTTGGAAGTGTGCTTGGTTCGGCTTGGAGGGTTGATTGAAATTTTTGGGTGAGGAGGAGCCGGCCGAAATCCAGCTTTTTAAGAGAAAAAGTCAGTTGTCGGTTTTTAGAGAGAGATGCCGATCGAAACTTTTTAGAAAAATGAGTTTTTGTATTGAGTTTTTTAGGGTTTTTTGGGCTAAGTTTGGTTTGATCCTTCATCTCAAAAAATCACTTTATTTTGGTCTTTTTCTCTCTCATTTTTCAATCACATCCCTCAATTATATTTTTTCAATATCTTTTCTTTTTTCTTTTTTTGTATTTTTTTTGAAAAAAATTGTATGTTAACAACCATCAATACAATAATACATTCACGGTCTTTATCTCATCAATCATTCAATATGTATAATTCAATCATCACCAATTCTATATTTTAGTGACAAACTATATTTATATAAATTTAAGGTTATCATTGAATAAACAAAAATGATATAATAATAAAAAATCTAATATTAATCATAAACCTTGTAACCTTATCCTAAGATATTTCCTCATTAAAGATAATGAAACGAGAGAAACCCTAGTAAATAAATATTAATGATAATAGTAAAAAGCGAAAAAATTTAATTCATAAAACTATAAAGAAAACCGTCACTAGAGAAAGGAGGTCATGGATCCGAATAAATAAGTGGGTAAGAATAAGAAAACTCATGCAAAGGTTACGAGTAGAGACAACAACTACTAAAATGAGAGGAGAGAGATTTAGAATGAATTCTTAAAAAAGGAAAAAAAAAAAAGAAAAAAAATCTTTTTATACAAAACTTTCATATAAACGTATATTGCAATTACTTTTTAATATTTGCTATACATTAAAAATAACTTTTTCTTCCCTATTTTCCTATTCTCTTTTGAGTAATTATATATGAAAAAAAATCATTTTTATAAAAAATTCCATAGAAACATATATTGTAATCACTTTTTTCATGGAAGAGCAATCATTTAAAATTCACGGAATCTATACTTTATATATGAAAAAAAATCATTTTTATAAAAAATTCCATAGAAACATATATTGTAATCACTTTTTTCATGGAAGAGCAATCATTTAAAATTCACGGAATCTATACTTCATCCCTTGCATAACGAGAATTTAGTATATAAAGTTTGTTTGTAAATAATTTTGCTTTTCTTTATCAAAAAAGCTTACCGATATGATACTTTTAAAATACTTTCTTAAAGGGACTAGTTATTGGTAGTTTGTGGTAATGAAATGTTTTAATAATGAATGAATTTTGAATTTCAAATTTTTAATCTAACCACCAATAATTAATCATGTATATCAACAATTAAATTTTTGACGTGAGAAGATGATAAGCTTTGAATTCAAATTTGTCTAATTATTACGATTTTTAACTATCCGAAAAAAAAAAAAAACTAATCTTTTAACAAGTGCTCTAAGTGCATCTATTAGCCAAACATATTTTTATAATAGAATTTAGGGTAAATGTATCAATCTAATCTTATATTATGGGTGTACTTTCTCATTTATTTATTTTTTTTAAGAATTTTTCACTATCATATATCCTTGTATATATACATCCATATTTCTCTCATATACCATTTTTTATACATATTTTGGACAAAAAAATGCCTCTTAGACAACCAAAAGAAAAATTAATGTTCAAAAAATAAATAAAAATAAAAATTTAAGCTTCAAAAACTTTTTTTAAAAAAAATGAAGGATTTTTTTTTTCAAGAAGCAAAAAATCCAAAAACCAACTAACCTAAAAACTTGAAACATCCAAAAACAAATCTGAAATAGCCTATAACACACACACACACACACACACACACACACACACACACACACACACACACACACACACATATATATATATAAACGAGCTTCTAATGAAAATTTTTAAAAAATCACTATCATGTAAAACTTATTTCATTGTCATAGACATATTTCTATTTACAAGGATTTATGTATATTACGTTTTTTATTTTTTTAGATTTTACACCTTAGTATTATTTTTTCCTAGGTTTTTTAATGTTTTTATATTATATGGGCTTTTCTAGGGTTTTTTTAATTTTCTTAAAGTTAATTTTTCATTTTTTTAGGCTTTTCAATTTATTTATTTGAAATGGTTGTATGGTATTTTCTTCCAAATACGATTAAAAAATATATATATGCGAGAAAATGTAAATGTACAAGAGCATATGAGAAGGAAATTTTTTAGAAAGATACATGAGAGAATGCACATAATATATAAGGATTGATGGAGCAATTAATCTTAAAATTTTGAAACATCCAAAACAAATTTGAAATAGCCAATATATATATATATTGGCTATTAAACTTGCTGCTAATGAAAATTTTGAAAAAATCACTTTCATGTAAAACTTATTTCATTGTCATAGACATATTTCTATTTACAAGGATTTATGTATATTAATTTTTAATTTTTAATTTTTTTAGATTTTACACCTTAGTATTATTTTTTCCTAGGTTTTTTAATATTTTTTATATTTTGTGGGCTTTTCTAGGTTTTTTTTTTAATTTTTCTTAAAGTTAATTTTTCATTTTTTAGGCTTTTCAATTTATTTATTAATTTATTTGAAATGGTTGTACCGCATTTTCTTCCAAAATACGATAAAAAAAAATATATGCGAGAAAATGTAAATGTACAAGAGCATATGAGAAGGAAATTTTTAGAAAGATACAGGAGAGAATGCACATGATATATATCCATTGGTGGAGCAATTAATCCAAAAAATTATATGATTTAATAAGTATGATTACTACATAATGCATCATGTTAGATATTATGATGTATTTTCTAACAATACACGTATATGTGATTTGTTAATTTTTAAAAGTATTTATATATATATATATATATATATTTAAAATTATTAATATATTAACGTTTATATATAAAAAAAAATAATGAAATGGTGTACCAATTTAGTTTTGAGTTTTTAATAAAAATTGTTTTTGATTCTTTAAAATAAAAAATACTTTCCTCCTAATAAAATTTAATTTTTCTTTTATTGAAAAATAAATTTCATTGATCAGTTTTTTAAAATATAAACAAATAAAGAAATCAGGAAAACAAATTTCCTCAAAAACGTGGGGGTGTAAGTAGAAATCCAATTCTAGACCGAAAACAGTAAAGAAAAATTTTGATGGATGCAATGGCAAAAAACGTGGGGGTTATTAATTATTTCGTGTCACATAAATTAAAGGTCCACGTGTAGGGCAAGTAGTGCTGTCACATCCTAAACTTTGATGGATGCAATGGCAATTAGCGTAATTGTTGAAAGGTACAGTGGCATATACGGAGTTAAGGAATTTTTCGCGGTCCTATAAATAGAGACGGTGTTTTCTCGACTGATGCATTGCACGCTCTTCATTGACCTCTCATCTTGGAACCTTTATCAACGTCATAACACACAGATCTCCATAATTTTTGTGTGCGGGATATTTTTTCTTTCTGATTCTTCTTGATTTTTCTCGAGAAACAAACAGACCCAAAGTGGGGTTTTTTCCTTTTCTTATTCTTGATCTAGAGAAAGAAACAGACCCAAATGAAGAGAAAACGAAGCTGAGGAGCAGACCCAAATGAAGAGAAAACGAAACTGAGTAAAGAACTGCATGTATTGCAAACCATAAGTATCATTTCATATAAAGCTGAACATTCAGGTAATGTTTCTGTCTCCTTTCTTGATAATAAAAAAGTCAAAATTTGTCATTATCTGGCTATCTGCCACCTTTTCTCCTTTTTTTAATAATAATTTTAAAGCTTCTGCATTTGTTTCTCTGTCTGTTTTTTTTTTAAAAAAATATTCTTTTGCGTTACTTTGTTCCTTTGTGTGAAAAAAAAAAAAGAATAGAGAGAATTTATTAGTGTTTTTTTGTTTCATTGTGTTGATAATTTTTGTCTTTGAATGTGCACGCACGAATGCTTTTTTTTTTTTTTTTTTTTCAAAGTTTTAGTTTTAAATCATCTCAAATCTAATCTTTGTGCATGGTTTTACCTTTTCTACACTCATTTTCTTTTTAGTTAAAAACTTTCATTTGCAATTAAACTGTGTAATATATTTTTTTAAAAAAATAGACCTCTTTTTCATTATATAAAAGGTATAAAGTAACTATTAATTTGACTCCGGGATACTATGCATATAAAGGTAAACTAAAATGATAGTCCCAAAAGTTAAAAGCTTTTTTAGTTTAGAGGTTTAACGTTGAAGCTCTAAACATGAAAATACACACACATGTGTGTGTGTGTATATATATATATATATATATATATATATATACGTGTAAATAATTTATGTATGGCCCGTGTTTGTGGAATTTACTTTCTGGTTTTAGGCTACAGCCCATCCTTTAACCGAAAATAAAAAATAAAAGGGCGTGCCACGTACCCACTTGTGACCTACCAAAAAATTGTAGTTTTAATAGAAATTGATACCAACTCAACTCTACTAGCTAGCCAATCTCGATTGGTTTCAAATAGGATTGCGAAAATATGAACTAGATTTAATTTGTTATCCATATTCTGCTTTTGTTATGGACAGGGAACCGTCATCAATTATTAATATATAATAACACTAACTGATCAATATTACAATTTAAAATGTATAATTACTAAAATCTTGTTTGGGTTGAAAACCCCCAATTTCTTGCAGTTAATCCAGTGTGTTGTTTGGTGATAAATAAACAATGGCTGCCTTGAATGCTACTGGAACAACGTCGTCATGCCCTAAACCAATGAAGGCTACGTCTAATGGTGTCTTTCAAGGAGATAATCCTCTTGACTATGCCTTGCCTCTTGCTATCCTCCAAATATGTCTTGTTGTCTTGCTCACTCGTGTTCTCGCTTTTCTTCTAAGGCCATTACGCCAGCCTCGCGTGATCGCCGAGATTATTGTAAGTTGCTACATGTTGTTAATTTGCTTACTTTGCGTATTATAGTCTTTTTTCCAATTAATGTTTTTGTATTAATCGCCTGAAATTTGATCTTGACCATCTCCTAGTTAATAATTTGTATATTTTATTGGCTCATGACTTTGTTGCATTAAGAAGGATTCTCTCTATCAAAAAGTGGCTGTGCGCTAATTGACGTTAAGTCTTTAGATACTTTTCTTGCAAAATTTTAGAGAAGTATAGGACTTGGCTTCGAGTCATGTTCTTGTTTATGTTTTTTTAATGGTTGAGGTATCCTCAACTAGTTTTCACGGTCACATCCTCGTTACTTCAAGAATATATATATATAAAGTTTGACCTTGTGTTGTTTCTCACGGTGTATGGTATATTCTTTGGAATAATTGACTAAATATATAAATTGCCTGGTGGGGAATAATGTTGCCTGGGTGGGTTATATATATATATATGAAAATCCTCAACCAGGAAAAGCAGGAACAAATCATTATTCCCCACCAGGCAATTTATATATTTAGTCAATTATTCCAAAGACTATACCATACACCGTGAGAAACAACACATGGTCAAACTTTATATATATATATATATATATATATATATATAGCACGATCTGTATTTATTGTACTTAAGGTCTGTTGATTGTAGTAGTTGGTAAAGCTTATGGATCCAGCTACAGCTGTTTTATGTATTTTAAAAAATGTGTAAAGTGAAGAATTTTCATCTTGTTCTCTACTTGATAAGATAATTGATTTGAACTTAATAACTTGATAAGAGAAAATCTTGGACATTAAAGTTATTTTGAAAATAAAATTTTGCATAATGAGTGTGAAGAAAATTAGAAATCTCCTTGCAACTCCAACCGCACAATAATTCTTCTGACAATTGATTTCCAGCAGTGCTTTCTTTTGAACGTGTAAAATTGATGTTAAAGTCCATAAGTGACAGGGGCGTTGAAAGAAAATCCAATTTGCTATGAACTTAAAAGTGGCCACTTTCTATAGCTAATATTACAGAAATTAAGGATCTGCTAGACAACAACCTGCAGCTGTGTTTTGACATTTTCCTCAGGAGTCAAAAGATATGAGGTGGAGTCTTTCTGAATGCATGTCTAGTAACTTTTAATGCCTCTCGTTGATTGATGCATTAGATCGGTAGATGTTAAATCTCTCTACTGCGTGATTTCAAAAACTCTAATTCAGCATCTTTTGGTTCACGGGGCAAACTACTAGTAGCAGAAGTATTTGCTATCTTAGTGAAAACTGATGAAGAGAATTTTCTTGTTGCATTTAGCCAACAACCATAAATTTCTTGCTATTCCTAGTTAATCTAATTGAGAAGGTGAATCAATTTGATTAAAAGACGTCTGGAGATTTCCCTTCCGCAGTTTAAATATGGAGATAGATAGCTTTATATGATTTGTCAGGACTTTTTACAACAGATTTTTACGTTCGTTTTTTCTTCTGAGTTGCTAAAAGTTTTGAATTATTGCTTCTGCAAGGGATGCAGCAAAACAAATCTTAAATGAGACTTCTAAAGGTTATTTTATGTATTGTATTTGTACTCTCATGCATTAAAAGTTTAGTCATAGTTAATGTAAAACAAATAGCTTTGACTTCTAATCTTCTTTTGACAGGGAGGTATACTACTCGGTCCATCAGCTCTGGGTCGAAACAAGCATTATCTGGATAAAGTTTTCCCAGATAAAAGCCTCACGGTGTTGGATACTTTAGCAAATCTTGGTCTGCTTTTCTTCCTGTTCCTTGTAGGCCTTGAGTTGGACCCGAAGTCCCTTCGTCGGACAGGAAAAAAAGCTTTAAGCATTGCTCTTGCGGGAATTAGCTTACCTTTTTTACTAGGAATTGGAACATCATTCGCCCTCCGTGGAACTATCAACCAAGGAGTAGATAAAGCTCCATTCCTTGTATTCATGGGGGTGGCCCTTTCTATTACTGCTTTCCCCGTCTTGGCTCGTATTTTGGCAGAACTTAAGCTTTTAACAACTGATGTTGGTCGAATGGCAATGTCAGCAGCAGCAGTCAATGATGTGGCTGCATGGATATTACTTGCTCTTGCTATTGCCCTGTCTGGAACTGACCATTCTCCCCTTGTATCTTTATGGGTATTTTTGTGTGGGTCAGGATTTGTTATCGGTTGCGCATTCATTTTCCCTCCTATCTTTAGATGGATGGCAAATCGTTGCCCTGAGGGTGAGCCAGTGGATGAAATGTATGTATGTGCAACTTTAGCTGCTGTTTTAGCAGCTGGATTTGTCACCGATTCAATTGGAATTCATGCCCTCTTTGGTGCATTTGTTGTTGGAGTTCTTGTCCCGAAAGAAGGAGCATTTGCTGGTGCTCTCGTGGAAAAAGTTGAAGATCTTGTATCTGGTCTCTTTCTCCCGTTGTACTTTGTTTCAAGCGGATTAAAGACCAATGTAGCCACAATTCAAGGGATTCAATCATGGGGTTTGCTGGTTTTGGTCATTACTACAGCCTGTCTTGGGAAAATTGTTGGCACTATAGGTGTCTCGCTTCTTTGCCGAATGCCTTTTCAGGAAGCTCTAGCTCTGGGGTTCCTAATGAACACCAAAGGCCTGGTGGAGTTGATTGTCCTGAACATTGGTAAAGATAGGAAGGTAAAGTCAAGTTTGTTCTTAACTAAATTTAATCCTCGTGCCTATTTTAAGTTATTTGTACTTGGGTATTCAGCTATTCAAGACTATAATCATTTGGTTGATTGGTACTGCAGGTTTTGAATGATGAAACATTCTCCATCATGGTTCTGATGGCCATTTTCACAACTTTTATCACAACACCTTTAGTTATGGCAGTATACAAGCCGGCAAAACAGGCAAGCAGAGCTGATTACAAATACAGAACAATTGAGAGAAATGACCCCAATACTCAGCTCAGGATTTTGGCCTGTTTCCACTCAAGCAGGAACATTCCCACAATGATTAATCTCATTGAGGCTTCGCGTGGGACTGACAAGAGGGAAGGACTATGTGTCTATGCCATGCACCTTATGGAGCTCTCTGAGAGGTCATCTGCAATACTTATGGTCCACAAAGCAAGAAAGAATGGGGTACCCTTTTGGAATAAGTTGCAGCAGTCTGGTAACAACCAAGTAGTAGTTGCTTTTGAGGCTTTCCGGCAACTGAGCCGTGTGTTTATACGTCCAACAACAGCAATCTCACCAATGTATGACATGCATGAAGACATCTGTGATAGTGCTGAACGGAAAAGGGCTGCAATTATAATCCTCCCATTCCACAAGCACCAGAGGTTGGATGGGACATTTGAGACAACTAGGACTGAATTTCATTGGGTTAACATGAGGGTTCTTGAGAATGCGCCTTGCTCTGTTGGTATCTTGGTGGACCGTGGGCTTGGCGGAGGCACACATGTACCTGCAAGCGATGTCTCCTATTCTGTGACTGTTCTATTCTTTGGGGGGCGCGATGATCGTGAAGCCCTTGCTTATGGAGCAAGAATGGCTGAGCACCCTGGTATCAGTTTATCTGCTATTCGCTTCACTGCAAGCCCTGAGATTGTCGGAGAAATTGTCAGAGTTGATATAAATGATGACTACAACGTTTCGGCGGAATCAACTGATGATGAATTTATAGCTGAGTTCAAGAAGAAAATCTCAAATGACAGCTCAGTCAAATATGAAGAGAGAGTAGCAAATAATGCCGCAGAAACTTTCGAAGCTGCTAAGGAGTTCAGTCGCTGCAATCTGTTTCTTGTTGGCCGAGTGCCTCAGGGTCCTGTAGCTGCATCTTTGAATGTAAAGGTTGATTGTCCTGAACTAGGGCCTGTAGGAAATCTTTTGATTTCTCCTGATTTCACAACTTTAGCGTCAGTCTTGGTGATGCAGCAGCGTACTAGTTCAGCATCTTCTAGGCATGGCTCAGCGGGTGGTTCAACAAAGGTTGCAGAGATGCCTGCGGAAGATTCAGAAACTGGCTAGGGGACCTTCTATGACGACTGAATTCGGACATCTTGTACAGCATACCTGCATGACACAGATCATGACAAGAATTTGGTTGGTTCTACTTGTATTGATGGTTTGGTGTTTCTCCAAGAAAGCTAAAAGCTACTAGGTTTTCACAGCTTTTCTTTCCTTGATGGAAATTGTCAAATCCTTGGACTTGTTGCTAGGTTCAGGGTCTTTGCTGGTATCGCCCCAAAAAGGGAAAATGTAAATAATTACTTAGTAACAGTTTTATCAAACCTGGAATTCCCTGTGCAGGCCAATGCACACTTGAATTGCTTTTTGTCTGCCTTTCGACAAGACACATTTGCTTCAAAACACATTTCCTGTAAGTGCATAATATGGTTATACAAAGCATACAAACTACGCCAGCCACTTAACATTAAAAAAGAGAAAAAAAAGCGTACAAGCATGTATGCGCTCATGATTTTAAATATTATCTAAGCAATAAAGACCATGTTTTTTGAGAGATTAAAGTGATCCTTCCACATAATTTATTATCCAAATTAAGATCAATTTTAAATAATCTAGTTTATCATCAGAAAAAGCATATAAGCATATATACTTAGTGTTTGATTATGATTCCATTATTAGAGTACACTGTTAGACTACTTTGCAGATCCAATTTCTTTAATTTATATAAAGAAGTGGGAAAATACCCCAATTTAGCCTCTGTTTTTATGTCAACTTACCTGGTAAATGATCTCCGGTAAAAATTTTCATCAAATTTACACCTATATTTTGTCCAATTTCATCAATTCATCTTAATTATTGGACTTAATAGTATCTCCCAATTCGTTGCATCTTGTTTGTAGTTAGTACAACTGAGTTAAATTAATTGACAAAATATGACGAATATAGACTATGGAGTAAATCTGATGAAACAATTTTCAAAGAGCTGAATTCAATCGGGGGAGTTCTTCCGAGAGAGGATCAATAGTCCGATATGCATTTATATAATTTATTAAGTTTTTAATATGTTCTTATATTTTAAAATTAACCAATTATGTTTCTATTATTTAAGTAAGTTTTTAATATACTTTTCTTATTAATTTTTATAGTCAAATTATGTGAAAATATCACAAGACTTGTACATGATTTTTTTTTTTAATTAAAATATCCTTCTCAGCTTAACATATTAATTTTTTAATCTGTTTTTATATAATGGATTGAGTCTTCAATCTATCATTAATGATGAAAAAAGTCTTGTTACTTTATTGTCAATAATTTTTCTGATAACATATTGCACTATAGTGAATATTTTGTTAATTAAAAATATATAAAAATAACTAGTGCAGGTTATTATATGTAAGTGTTAAAAAAATTATCATTTAATATATTTTTAACTCTAAAAAGTTCATTACATTATTAGCATTATATTAATTCATTTATGTATAACATTGAACAAATTCATATAATATTTACCAATATATTAAATCATTTCTATAAAAAAAAAACATATGATCTGCATGCAAAAATAATAAATGATATATGTACTAAAAAACTACATAATTATAATTTAAATGATCACTAATTAGTCTCTTAAGCACATAATTAAAAAAATAATTATTTGTTTTCTTTAATTACACAATTATTTTTTTAATTATGTGTTTAAGAGACTAATTTTAAATTATAATTTTATGTAGTTTTTTAAGCCAATCGATGATATTTATATCATTTAGTTATTTTTGCATGCGATTCACATGTTTTCTTTCACATATATGATTTAATATATTAATAAATATTATATCAATTTGTTTAGTATTATACATAAATAAATTATTATAATGAAAATAATTTTAATAAACTCTTTAGCATTAAAAATTTGTTAAATAACAATTCTTTGAATACTTACATATTTACTAATTATTTTTATATATTTTTAATTAACAAAAAAATAATTATGGTTTAATAATTTATTAGGAAAATTAATATGTTAAGCTTAAAGGGATATTTTCATTAAAAAAAAAAAAACACATGCAGATTATGTGACATTTTCAGTTGGTTTGGTTGGAAAAAGTTGATCCGAAAAATATATTAGAAACTTACTTAAATAAGAGGGACATAACTGATTTATTTTAGACCATAAAGAGAGATTAAAAACTATGTCTATCATATCAAGAAATATTAGGCTATTAACGATTTATTATATTATATATGGTGAAAGGCAGAGAAATGCTGAATGATCTTTGGGTCCATGATTAATCCATTCATTTAAATCATTAGTCTAATGAAGTAGTTTTAGCTAATTCGGGCCAATTCTGGGCGGGACAGTGGCCTACTGGCCACCATTTGAAAAGTTTGAAAGCAACAATTTATAATATTTCGTGAAGGTCATTGTTTTGTGAATGCAAAACATTCCAATTAGTTCTTCTTTTTTTTTTTTTCCATTAAATAATCAACAACCAAAAAAAAAAAAAAGAATCTACGACCGCTATTCACTGAAGCAGGAAAGTATCTGCACTTAGGAAACTTGTGTTCATAAAACAAAAAAACACACACAAAAAAGAAAAAAAAAACTGTTTTTCAAATTCTCCACCATAGAAAGCAAGGCCTTATTTGGTTTACTTAATTTTCTAAGTCTAGGTCTTTTATTATTTTAAAAACAAGTTAAAACAAAATCTTTATTCTTTATTTTGAAATTTTTTTTTCGCAATGGAAAAAAAAAGTAGAGATGGAAACTACAAACTTATTTTTTAAAAAAAAAACTATTTTTTTTCCGTTTTTGAATGATTAAAGTGATTCTCTTCACGTTTAAGCTAATGAGCCAACTTAAGACTTCTAGTTAATCATGACCTCTCCTCTTCTTGATCAATAGCAATAGTGCCGAATATTTTTGCCACGAATGACAATGATGAGTTCAGTGTTTGATTACGATTCCCACTATTAACCAATTATTTGCAGCTTGATTATCCTTTTTTTGAGGAATGAATGAGGTCGAAGATTAGTAATGTTAAACACTAAAGACTTTCCATTTCTTTTTATAAACAAAAAAAAAAAAAAAAAAAGGAGAATTAATTGCTTTTATTTCTGAAGCAAGGTTCGGGCCGATCATTATAAGATCAACCTTCCCACTCGGCATGAAGGCCTTCATCCACTTTCAGCTCGATAATAATCTTTATTCATTGTTAAAAATAGTAATTTTAGGCTCTCAGCTAATGTCATTGCTAAACAAATCTCCATATGTAGCGTGTTGTGCAGATAATCCTAAAACATCCAATTCTATTGCGCAACAAAAATTCTAAATATGAATTTAATGACTATCCTAGTAAGTATAAAGAAGCATATAGATTAAAAATACTATTTATAATTAAAAAAAAGGAAAAGTACGAATTTTCCATGAAAAAAATTATACTAAATTAAACATTTTATAAAATTTATAAGGAAAATAAAGAAAAGGAGAGCTAGAAAGAGCGCATGAGGAATATATATATATATATTAAAGCATTGGACCAAAACATTGAATCAAACCAGCGTGTATATTTATAAATATTGTGTATAAACACCTTAGAAACACAGTGAGAGATTACAACTCAAATGAAGATAATTCTTTCCTTCAACAAGATCCAATCCCTCTCTACTGCCCCCTGCTAGTTAAGACCTATCCCCATCATACCGAGTTGAAACCTTCTAACTTAAACCGAAACCGAAAGCACCAAAGTCAAAAACAGACGGACAACCATCACCATAAAAACCCTTCATTGAAACCTTAAACAACGTTAGACACTGGATAAAGCAAGGAACCCATCGAGCCCAAACTCTAAAATGAGTCACCGAGAAAAGAACACCTAAAAGACGACACCCACTAAAAGCAAAAGCAACGGTAGAAGAGGTAGAAATAAATTAGTAAAAGAAAAACATGATAAAAATCACATCTTTCTTTCGAATTCTGATATGAAGTTTTCACAATATTATATTTTGGTCCCTTATGTTTTTTAAAACTTTGTTTTTGGCTTCTAGCTTTATTCCTATTGCAGTTTAGTTCATAAATGGAAACATAAACGAAGAGAGAGAAAAGAAGAGAGAATGCGACCCCAAAATCTATTCTGATCACTTTAACTACTGATTTTGATTTTAATTTGTTCCCTTTAGAAATGAGAATTTATTTATGATGGTTCCAATCCATAAAATGATCAAAAGAAAGAGATTCCATATTGCAAAATATTCACTTGTGTTTTTGAATTTGATTTGAATTTTGAGTAAGAATATTTTAAAATGTTTATAATAAATTAAGAAGTGAAAAGAAAACATAATAAATTGAAACCTATGCGCGAAGGCCAAATATGCATGGCTTAGAAACAAAATTTTATGTCAAGGAAAAAAATAGATTCTATGTGTTTTATTTACTTATTTTACATAATAAAAATTTATTAAAATTAATTTTGTTGGTGTTCTTTTATTAGAAATTGACTATACATATACACACAAAACATTTAACATTTATTATTTTAAAAAATAGATATTTAAAAATCAAATTTCCTTGAATAAAATAATTAAAATCATATTTAAAAAACTCGATGTTATCATACTTTTCAAATAAAGTTTTTATACTACTATTATTGATTTCTTTAGAAATATGCATACACACACACATTCTTTCAAAAATTAATCTTCTTATCGTTATTCAATAAGGATAAATTTATTTTAAAATTTAAAATTTCTATATATTTTTTTTAAAATTAATCTTTGCTTTATTTTTTATGCAATCTTATGGAAAAAAGTAATAATTATTAAATTTAAGTTATATATACTCATATGTCTTTATATAAAATTCAAAATTTCTTATATGTCCCTAAGTTTTTAATTGAATTTTATTTGTTTCTAAAAATGTTTAAAATGTTCGATTTGTCCTTTCAATTAATTTTTCTAGCCCAATGATTTTTTTAACTGAAATGCAAAAATAATAATAAAAAATAAAATTCTAAAGATTTAAAAAAAATGAAAAATCAAGGTCATGTGATTTTAAGTTTATTTAT